TGGTTTCCTTTATTAATGCAATATTTATAGCATTTATATCAGTGTCAACTGATTCTTTACTAGACAAACAGATCACACTGTTCAGCCGTAACATTAAAACCACTGACAGGTTAACAGTGAATAACATTATTTCTTTACAATGGCTAAAACCTACCAGAGGTTGAAGCCATTATAGAGCAGCTGCAAAACTTTACCTGTCTGATCTTGGTTGTGTCCTGAGCTGCTTTCACCCCAAATTCCTGCATTTCTGTTACCTTCTTCTGAACTGTCTTGTCCCTCCGTTTCTTTGTTTCTGTTACCTTCTTCTGAACTGTCTTGTCCCTCCGTTTCTTTGTTTCTGTTACCTTCTTCTGAACTGTCTTGTCCCTCCGTTTCTTTGTTTCTGTTACCTTCTTCTGAACTGTCTTGTCCCTCCGTTTCTTTGTTTCTGTTACCTTCTTCTGAACTGTCTTGTCCCTCCGTTCCTTTGTTTCTGTTACCTTCTTCTGAACTGTCTTGTCCCTCCGTTCCTTTGTTTCTGTTACCTTCTTCTGAACTGTCTTCTAATAGAATTCATGTATTTAGAAATAATTTTAAAATGAACAGACAATCTATTAGTGAAATTTAATAATAGTCTATTAGCCTCTCAAAATGTAAAAAGCCTTATCAAACTATGCAATATTAGAAGGTTTATTTTACAATGTAGGCACAAGGGTCATTTATTCCAAAATGTTCTACCTTGGCAAAACAGACACTTGGCATCTTCTTGATTCCCAGGTAGACATTTGTTATGGATATTTACTAAACAGGTTGAGCATTTTTCCTAGAAAGATCATTTGCATGAAAAATGGTTGGGTCAAATATTTTTTAATTTTACTTTTACTCCCCAACTAATTACACAGTTGGATCTGGTGTCAAAAGATCAAAAAACCACTGGAGACTGGAGAAACATGTTTAACCTTAGAATGCTTCTTTAATGTTATTTTTAAATGTACTTTGCGTCACTTGCCTTGTTCTTCCTAGGCACCGTGTTGTGACAGATACCACAAATACCTGACTTATCTAAAGCACATAGGAAACATATTTGCTGCATTGTTACTCTTTCAACAGGAATCAACCAATAAGAAACTCTAAATATATACATATGCATGGTACTTACCAAGTGATCTAAAAAGAAACCACCCCAGTCGCTCTCTCTCTTGCTGTGCAGGTGAGCATGCAAGGTACCCCTTTGGGCCTTCTAGAATGGCCTCAGCAAACTAAAGGTGATCCAAAAAGAATGATTTATTCAATGCCACAAAAAGCTAAATTACTTTAGTTTAGCAACACTTTTCAAAATGGTAGAGCCTTAAGTTCCATAATCAGCTGGAATTTTGTAGCAGAATAAAAAAAATACCATTCTATCAAAAACGAATAAAACAATTAGGTATACGGAATATATACAATATCATTACAAATACCAACTGTTTCATGATCCAAAAAATTGACAATGATTTGTTGTAGTAGTAGTAGTAATAATAATAAAAATAAAAGCATTTCACCACAGCTGTGAAAACACCACAGGAAATACTGTCAGACTGGAGGCTGTGCTTCCTGATTACCCATTTCCATGGCCCCTGGTACCCTTTTGATGCACCAAATGTGCTGAAATGTAGGTAAAGTTTAAAATATGTAAAGTAGATAAAACAAAGTTCATATAGATGGGCAAAACAAAGTTCATATAGAAATACAAAAAAATAAAAAAATGTATTAACTTTCCCGTACCTCCAGTTTTCTGCTGTTTTATTATACTGATGCTTAGTCTCCCCAAGTGAATTCAGGTAAATTATAGTCCGATCCACAATACTGCAGTGCTAGAACAAACAGATTATATATATATATATATATACAGTGGGTACGGAAAGTATTCAGACCCCCTTAAATTTTTCACTCTTTGTTATATTGCAGCCATTTGCTAAAATCATTTAAGTTCATTTTTTTTCCTCATTAATGTACACACAGCACCCCATATTGACAGAAAAACACAGAATTGTTGACATTTTTGCAGATTTATTAAAAAAGAAAAACTGAAATATCACATGGTCCTAAGTATTCAGACCCTTTGCTCAGTATTTAGTAGAAGCACCCTTTTGATCAAATACAGCCATGAGTCTTTTTGGGAAAGAGGCAACAAGTTTTTCACACCTGGATTTGAGGATCCTCTGCCATTCCTCCTTGCAGAGCCTCTCCAGTTCTGTCAGGTTGGATAGTAAACGTTGGTGGACAGCCATTTTTAGGTCTCTCCAGAGATGCTCAATTGGGTTTAAGTCAGGGCTCTGGCTGGGCCATTCAAGAACAGTCACAGAGTTGTTGTGAAGCCACTCCTTCATTATTTTAGCTGTGTGCTTAGGGTCATTGTCTTGTTGGAAGATAAACCTTCGGCCCAGTCTGAGGTCCTGAGCACTCGAGAAGGTTTTCGTCCAGGATATCCCTGTACTTGGCCACATTCATCTTTCCCTCGATTGCAACCAGTCGTCCTGTCCCTGCAGCTGAAAAACACCCCCACAGCATGATGCTGCCACCACCATGCTTCACTGTTGGGACTGTATTAGACAGGTGATGAGCAGTGCCTGGTTTTCTCCACACATACCGCTTAGAATTAAGGCCAAAAAGTTCTATCTGGGTCTCATCAGACCAGAGAATCTTATTCAGGTGTTTTTTAGCAAACTCCATGCAGGCTTTCATGTGTCTTGCACTGAGGAGAGGCTTCCGTCGGGCCACTCTGCCATAAAGCCCCGACTGGTGGAGGGCTGCAGTGATGGTTGACTTTCTACAACTTTCTCCCATCTCCCAACTGCATCTCTGGAGCTCAGCCACAGTGATCTTTGGGTTCTTCTTTACCTCTCTCACCAAGGCTCTTCCCCCCCGATAGCTCAGTTTGGCCGGACGGCCAGCTCTAGGAAGGGTTCTGATCGTCCCAAACGTCTTCCATTTAAGGAATGGAGGCCACTGTGCTCTTCGGAACCTTAAGTGCAGCAGAACTTTCAGCTCATGCTTCACATGTCTTTTTGCTGTAAAATCTTTGCTGATTTTTTGAAGTAAACGTAATAACTTTTATATAGTTAGTAATATTTCAAGATGAACCCTTACTGGACTGAAGTAGGTTTACTTGATTATTAATAGATGTTTTTTTATTTATTTAGTTTTTAGAAAAATCATGTTTTTGCTCAGATTGGGCCTCTGAATAAAACTGACATGTTTATCATATGACACTATACGAGCCGTAAAAGCCTCATGTATCAAATATGATGCTCAACAACAAACACATTTTTATTTGATATATTTAACAAATTGTATCTCAATAAATGTTTTATATTTATATAAATATATATACTGTATATATATACTGTATATATATAGGTAGTTACAATATTTTTCCAAATAATTAAGTACTACAGTTGTTTTAAACAAGTGCACAAAGAAATGTGTGCGCTATGGAAAGTATTGTGTAGTTGTTCTGGTGCAACTTCACAAGTTCGACAAGGTGGATGGAAAAAAGCAAAAGAATAATTGGAACAGTACCAGCAACACTTGTGAATGGACAGATCAAAATGGTCAGAAAATAGAGCTGAAAATATATTTTCTGACCATTTTGATCTCTCCATTCACACGTGTTGCTGGTACTGTTCCAATAATTATTGTATGGAAAGTAGGCAACCCTCCTCCTGGAGTGCACTGGGCATGCAAACTACTAGATAGGGGTGGGCTATATAGAAAATATATATCACAATACGTGAAGACATTTTAACAATACTAAAAAATAACCATATTGCCCACCCCTACACTCAGGTGTGTTAGATTTATGTTAGCACATATATCTGTAGGATTACAACACTCTGGTGTCTTCCCCTTATATAGAAAATATTCAAAGTAGTTTAGTTAACAATCTTACCATGCTGAACAGATGGAACAGGGCATCCATTATCTGAGGAGGCATCAACCAAAGAACAAAGGGAAAAAAAACAATTAGGAAAAACCACTCAAGTACTAATACTAAAAGTGAGAGTGGCATGCCAGTAAACTTGTTTTGACATAAGAATGTTGTAAGTTCAGGTCAAGCTTTCAAATGTAGTGTTTTTGAGGAGGAATGATTGAACTGTGAAAAGAGGGAAGAACACTGAGAACTTCTGGATGCCTTACATTTATATTTCTAACAATTTTATCCAAAGTAACGTGCATGAAAGGGATAGTTCACCCAAAATATCTACTTTTGTGTTCAGCAGAAGAAGAAAAAAAATTCATACAGGTTTGGAACAACTTGAGGGTGAGTAAATTAATTTTATAACAGAGTAACAGAATTTTAATTTTTGGGTGAACTAGAGCTGCACCATAAATCGTTAAAAGATCAAGAGCTCGATTCAAACACCAATGTGATCATATTCAATTCACCTGTATCTATTAAACCACTGAAAAAATGACACTGGAATATTACAATCTGTGTTGGAGCTTCCTCTGACTCAGAGAAAGCAGTTATCATGTACCAGTATGAAACAGCTTCACAAACACACACACAATTTCACTATTTCTGTTTTGTATTTAAAATAGACTGCAGCAATTAACATTTTGTCAGAACCTTTAGTAAATTTCTGTCACGGCTGTGTCGAAGAAGGCACACAAGAATGATGGTAGAATCAATAAGTAGTTTAATAACATCCAAGACAAGATAATCCAGAGATGATGGGTAGACACACACCTATACGAACGTAAGACCAGACGAAGACTAGAACTAAGGAGGGAGTTTAAATAGGCAGACAGATGATGACACACAGGTGATGGGAATTAACTAATGAGTGCTAATGAATCAATGAACTAAACTAGGACAGGAACAGAACCAAATATGGGCACAGACGAACTAAACAGACCAGATGACTAAAACTGGGGGGAAAAAAAGGAAGAAAAAAAAACCCCTAACAAAAAAAAGAGTTCAAACCGGTTACAGTTCGCCCCCCCTCCTGGAAGGTGCGACCTCGCGCCGTAGAAGAACCAACAGTGGAGGGATGGCGGGGGTTTTGGAGGGGAACGAGGAGCAGGAGAATGGCTGGCAGCAGGCGGTTCTGGAGGTGGCCGGATGCCGGGGAGGAGGACGAACAACAGAGTCCAAGCTGATGATGACAGAAGGGAACTGGAGAAGGAGGAGGAGCCAGGCAGGACCCAGGCCGCAGACATGATAGCGACCCACAGTGGAGCCGACGGAGGGGAGGAGCCATGGTGGAGGAAGGGCTAACGACTCCAGGGGTCAACCAACGGCGGTGGAGCAGGTGGAGGAGGAGCCAGAGGCGGAGACGGACAGCTGAAGAGTGGAGTCCCAACACGGCGTATGATCGACGACTGAACAAGGCAGAGCCGGAGGGACGATGGAGCCTGGTGGAGCTAGTGGACTGACGGGCCACGGTGGAGATGAGGGAGCTAGGAACCATGGTGGAGCCGGCAGATCAACAGGCGAAGGCGGAGTCAGGGACCCTCCAAGCCCTCGTGCTAACTTGCATCTTCTACTGGCACCTGGTCAGATGGGTCAGGCTCAAGCTCTGAGGCAATCCTCAGCTCTGTCGGTTGCGGTGGGCTCTTACGCTCCGCGCAACGGGGTGATGGTTTGCTGGGCTCTGGGTCTAGAGTGGGACTGGTGAGATGCTCCTCAGCGGGGCTGATGGTCAACAGCAATTTTTTGCTCACCAGCACCCACTCCACAAAGGCGGCAAATTAATCCCGAGGTATTTTAAAAATTCATATCATAACAAAAATAAACACCGGTATTCGGTATGAACCGGTATAACCGCCCAGCACTACACACACCTAAACGAACGTAAAACCATACGAAGATTAAAACTAAGGAGTGATCATATAAATAAAAATATAATATATTTAACTAGGCAGACAGATGATGACACACAGGTGATGGGAATTAACTAATGAGTGCTAATGAATCAATGAACTAAACTAGGACAGGAACAGAACAAAATATGAGCACAGATGAACTAAACAGAACAGACGACCAAAACAGTGAAAAACAACAAAAAAACGTTCAAAACTTGTACAATTACATATTATTTATTATTTTAATTATTGTTGTTTTGTTTAGTTGTGTATTCTGAATCGTGGGAGAATCATGATCTGTATTTGAAGCAATCCAGATCGTGCAGCTTTAGGGTGAACTATCCCTTTAAAAAGAGAAATGTTACCTCATCAGATACTTTGTTGTTTTCTACAAGGGATTCAAAACTTTCCATGTAAAGTGGATAGGGTCCAATCCTTCCAATGCTGCATCCATGCAGTCCTCCAGACTTCATAATTTGTAAGACTGCATAGGTAAAAAATTGGTAATTTTCGCCCCTTTTTCTAAAGTGTTTTTAAACTATTGTTTTAGTATTTTATATTTTTTGTGTTAAAACAATATGCAATGATCACAGAATAACATTTTCTAGAGCAAATACATATTGTAGCAGACTACACCCTTTTCCCTGTTTATTAAGAATATACATGTAATTAAAAGCACATGCACAAGACAAAAAAAGTTTTACTTACCATTCATTTTTTCTCTGAGGGAAATGTTCCTTGAAGACAGAGGGATAGGTTCACAGAAAAAAAATCTGAAAACATTAGCCTTACCTATAGAGAACATTGGTACCAATCTTAAAGCATCAAATATTAAGATAAAATAAAATAAGCTCTCCTGCTCCAAGAGCAACAGCATTACCCTTCCCATACTATTAGAACAACTTTGAGTAAGTAAAACGCTCCGGTACTATCGTAACCTCGGTTCCCTGAGAGCAGAAACGAGATATCATGGAGATATTTCTCCGCTATGGGAACTCCTTCCCTTCCAACCTTTCCTGAAGTCCTATTGGCTCCCGCCAGTCCAAATGACTGGCCAATTG